CCAATCCCAGTCCTGTGACTCCCCCAGTGTCCCCCCCATGTTTCCAATCCCAATCCCTCAGTCCCCAGGGGTCCCTCCAGCCTCAATACTGAAATCAGCTGGAGCGAACTCCCTGATGGAGCTGCAGGTATCAGAAAGTCGGAATTCTTTATCAGCTCAGACTCACAGTGGATCTCTCCTGGTCCTGCAGGTCACGGGAGACTTTGCCATGGGGTATTTATCCATCCTAATTATAAATATTCATGAAAATGTGTCCCTTACCAAGTACAGAATCTTCACTTTTCCTAAAAAAGTGTTACATGGGTCCGCCTCTTTCTTGAATTCCTTTTATGTTGCTGGAGAGTCCTAAATATGAGGTTTCTCAGTGTTGTTTTCACTGAGTGCCCCAATATGCCAGATAACCTCACTTCAAACTTTCGTTTTGGGCAGGCACTGCCCCTTCTGTGGTCTAGAACTTGTCCAAAGCCCCTCACTGGAGTTCCCCTTTTCTGTTCCTTCACGGGTTCCAGCCATGTTTGCCCTGCTGTGTCCACACTTTTACATCCTTCTGTGCACTTCTGCTAGTTCATCTTTAAGCCCTATCCAGTATCTTCAGGAGAACTGAAACTTTCTATTCTCTCTCTTATTTCTCATCCCCCAGAACCCCAATCCCACAGTCCCACGTCCCCCCAGTGCCCCCCAGTCGCACTCCCAGGTGCTCACTGAGCGTGACCGTCACCCTGACAAAAAGGGGGCCAAGTTTTATTCTGTGGGTTCCATTTCTCCCCAGTTCACCTTTAAAGCAGCACAGAGCCCTCAATCTGTCAGCCAGTGTTGGGAACGGCACAAGGACTGGTCCTGCACAGCTGGGGTGTTTGTTTCATGGCTCACAGACCAAATGGGTGTTGGTGAAGGGCCAACGGAACCTACAGAATTGCAGCTGGCTGTGACTGCAGAAATGTCACCTTTACAGCAGACATTTAAAACTGATTTATTGGTTTTGGCAGTGGGAGGGTGTGGGAATCCTTAAATTCAGAGGGTTTTGGGAAAGCTGCAAGAGGCAGGCCTCGGAGACAGCAGAACTGTGGTTAGAGTTAAGCGGTAGCAATAAGATTTGTCAGCAGAAAAATATATGAGAAGTAGAAAGTAAGGACAAATAGAGCAATAGTCTGTGTATTAACCCTTGGCTAGAATAACTCCCTAAGCTACTCTTTTGTTGGGAAAGACAGGTATCTGCTAAGGAAGGCAGGAGCCTCTCTTCAAATGGAAATTGTAAATCTCCTCCTCTCTTCTCTGAATTGCTATGAATTTGAAATTAAAGGTCTCTCAGGCAAAAAATATGGGAGCAGGAAATAACAGTTCTTTAATAGGGAAGAAAATAAAAAAAATAAAATAAACAATGGAGTAAACTAAACTAACATTGACAGTCAGAACACAACCTGACACCCTGTGGGTCAGGGAGTTGTAGCAGTCCAATTGGAATTGTGGCTGCAGCCCTCCTGGAGTGTCAGGGGTGGTTCTTTTGGAGCAGGGATCTTGTAGAAGGGTGTAGCTTTTTCTCTGAAGATCCAGTGGAAGAGGCAGCAGCTGTTCCTCTGGGAAAAACCAGCACAGAAGCAGTGCTGGTGTTCCAGAATCTTCAGATTATATCCGGGTAGGAATGCTTGGCTCCTCCCTCTGGGTGGAGCATCTCACAATGGGATGCTGTAGTGCTTATCAGTCATGCAGTGACATTCAATAGCCTGTTATCAGCAGATGTCCCTGCAGTTGTGGAAGAGATAAGGAAAACTGCCCACTTAACAGAAGACAACTGCTATACAGATGGCAAATGGAATACAATTTGCTTGGCAATCCAGGACATTTCCAACCCCTATTCTATTTCCATCTGCATCACAAAGAAACCTTACACACAGTTCTCGCTTAAGACTAGGTTTTCCTGTGGCACACAATGGGTTTCTCCATCTTTCTGCATTACCCACCAATTGTAACCAGGTCCTTGAGCAAAAACAATCCCACAGATGGGTTTGTCTTTGCCTGAGGTGGGANCTCTGTGCCCTGTGTCTGTGCCCACATAGGTGTCCTCAGGCTTGGTGTCCCCAGCATGTCCTGTCCCTGTCCCCACATTCTGAGTGAGTTTCCCCACCCTCTGTGCCCTGTCATGGGTGTGCCCTGTCCACCGTTGGTGTCCCCATGGCCACAGTGGGTGTCCCCATCCCCCCAGGTTGTCACCTGTGGTGTCCCCTTGCAGCCACTCGCAGTTGTATTTGCTGAAGGTCCCATTGGAGCGGAGCTGGATCCTCGCTTTTTCTCCTTCCTGGCTGACTTTGATGACCTCAAAGGTCTCATACGGTGGGATCAGAACCTCCTTCTCATTAGGATACTTGGAGAAATTCCAGATTGCTGCACCGTGGCACGTGTACACCTGGAACATCGTGGCACTCCCAAAGCGCTTGGCAGTTTTTTCACTCTGTGATGCCGAAGAGAATTGACCAAACCGGACGATGTCACCAGGCTCTGCCTTGAACTTGTACATGCGCACCCCCCGGTACACATTGTGACACTGCCCATTCTGAGCCTGCCTCAGCGTCACCAGGGCCTGGGTCAGCAGGAAATGCAGTGTTTTGAAGTGGAAGTTGTCCCGGTATTCCTGGCGGGAGCGCCCGGCTGTACGCACGGCTGCGTTGAACTGTCTGTAGAGCTCATCCATCGTGTAGGCCATGAGGGCGATGGCCTGGCCTGGAGATGACAGAGAGGACAGAGGGGACTTCTGACCTCGCCACACGGCTGTGGCATTAAGCCAGGCCTGGGCAAAAAGGGGATTCTGCTGGAACTCGGAGTGATTGAGGGCTGGCAGTTCCGCAATCATTTTTGTGCCACAGTCCTGGTACCGGTCATCGAAGGAGTCCAGGGCCATATCCAGAGGGATGACATCAAAAGCCGTAGTGGCCATGGCCATTGCCAGCAGTGCCAGGGTCTGAGCCAGGGGAGCCATGGAGAGGAGAGGCCACAATGACCAGTGTGGGACACTGGGGGACACAGAGGGGACATGGGGGAGACATAGGGAGGGTTCATCAGTGAGGGACTGGGAAGGGCAGTGGGGTCAGCCCAGGGGGAAGGGAGGCACTCCTGGCCAGCAGACCCCTGGGCATGTCTGGGGTCCCTGATCCCAAATTCTGGGGTGACCTATGCCTCCCCAAAGTTGCCCAGCCCCCCAGGAACCCCAATCCCACAGTACTGCGTCCTCCTGGTCCCCCAGAAGCCCAATCCTACTCCCATGACTACAAGTCCTCTCAGCCCCAGCAGGATCCCGACCAAAATCCTGGGGTCACTCCGAGACCCCCAGTGTCCCCCTCAGCCCATCTCCAGACCCGAATCACACTCCCAGTCCCCAATTTCTTTCGTGTCACCCCAGGACATCAACCCAAATCCAGGCATT